CGAATATAACAATAATTCTACATTTCTATAATCTACAATAAAAATAATAAATATAAAATTTAATATATACAAAATACTTGTATTGAATTCTACCGATTTCTACATTCTTCGGTGAATATTCGTTTTCATTTTTCTATTACATTAAATTACTTTACATAATATTTGTAAATATGTACTGACTTTATAATAAGTTTTTAAAATATAGTATTTTAATTCATACATTTATTCACACACAATAGGCTTACGCGCACACATACAATACATTCACACGTACACAGCATATTATATTAAATAAATATCGAACCGCATATAAAAGTAGTATAAAATTGTTCTTCTTTTATTAGATCGAAAATCGATGACAATAAACTATACAAAACAGATGTTGCATAAATTTTCAAATTTGATCTTCGATGAATAAGAAATATTTTTTATTCTTTAACGTCATATATAAAATATTTGTGAAATCAGTCTTGTGTGGCGGTATACTGATTGTAACTTTGATCAGTTTATTTTACCGATTAATCAAAAAAACTATTTGATAATTAATCATTAAAATATCAAAATTGATTGCTTTCGAATATTTTTTTGATAATCGAATTTGATAATCGATTAGTTAGTTTAATTTAAAAATCTATCTATTAATGCCTAAGGGCAAGGTAAAAAATTTATATAAAATGCAGGATAACAATTATTTTTTCTTATTCGATTCATTGTAGTAGTATATTAAAAATTGCTGCTAAGAAATCTCAATTAAATCCTGCACTTTCACTTTGAAGAAACAATGAACATAATTACAATATTATTCTAAAATCCATGAAACATGACAATTTCAGTATTAAACATTTTCTGCAATTGTCCTCTACATTCTTTAACAACAATAATAAAATGGCACTGCAATATCTCCTTTTGTTGCTACAAAAATTTATCATATCCCCATTTTTATTCAATGACTGCTCTTAATTTCTAATGAACTTCATAAAGGTCAGTAACAGGAGACGTGTTCTCTTTAAACTGTCTAATCTAACCATCTTTCATATCTTAAACGAAAATTATCACCAAATTTATGAAATTTACAGTCAATATTGAGGATTTGGCGAATTTCTTTGGAAACTATTTTGCTGATTTTGTTGTAATGGCCCAGCTGGACTAGGTCTTCCTTGTTCGCGATACTGAGAAGTTGATCCATTGGAAGGTCCTGTTGATCCAGGAGGCCCAGGTATCTTGCCATAATTCCCTCGCGTCGAACCTTGATAACTGCCATACGCAGAATCATCACTTCGCCTAGAAACATGTCCGTACATACTTTCCGGTCTTCTAGAGTTCACGGCGTTATCCGAGTTGGTGGACAATGTTCCATTCTGCTGTTGTTGCTGCTGCTGTTGCTGTTGCTGATGATGATTTTGGGCGGAAGATTGAACGTTCGAACCCGATTGTTGAGAATTTTGACTACTTGGAGGAGGAGCTGGAGCCCTCCCGTATATACTAGATCCTGTAGACACACCATAGATACCATTCTCCCTTGTACTGAGAGTTGTAGAAATCCCCCTGATCCCATAAATACTTTGAGTGCATTGTTGCAACTGATTTTGCATGTTCTGATTCGTGCTATTATGATTTTGAGAATTTTGATTTTGACCATTTTGCTGTTGACTCTCCCTGCCCGAGTTCGAACCGGTTTGACCTATTCTAATTGGATATAGGCTTTGTGCCGGGACCAATGGGCCCGGTTTAGGGATCATCAAGCCGTCCCGCGTCCCGGAACTCGATTTGGCGTACACACTTTGCGAACGATTCAGATTCGCTCTGGTCAAGGGAGGTGATTTACAATAGAGCGATTTCGTCCCACCATAAATGGATTCGACGCGTTCCAAGGCAGTAGGGGGTGCACTGTAGATCGATGAGGATGCTCCAGCAACTGGACGATAGGTTGCATACGCGCTGGAGAATTTGGGACCAGACGGTTTGTCCAAATCGTCGTAAGTATCCTCGTCAGATCTCATCGATGAATTGTCGCCATCATCTATATCTCGTGGATCCCTCGATTGTTTCGAATTTAGAACGTATTCGTGAAGGAGAGCTGCTATTGCGCTTCCGGATAATGGGCCTACCCAATAAACCCAATGGTTGTCCCAACGGTTGCTTACAAACGCTGGCCCGAGTGCTCGAGCGGGATTTAAAAACGGACTCTGAAACATCAAATTGAAATTCATTAATTTCTCCTTTTAATCTGTCCCCTATATTCATTCGATTGTCATATCTTATTTTGTATTCTCAGAATACATACACATGCATGATAAAAATATTCGAAAATTAAAAAAAACCAAACTTTCTTAATTCTTGCTTTTATGCATGAAACATTGGTACACGTGAATTGTTTTCTTTGGAAAGCATTGTACATGTAGGTTTACAAAGCAGGTGGGATCGAGGGATCGAATTCTTCTTTTTCTCCCTCTCTCTCTCTCTGTCCTTCCTACTCAACATCTCTTCTCTCCCTTCCCCCTCCTGCTAACCCACAGGTGCTGTTTAAAGACGCGGACGCGGACGAGAATTGGAAAGAAATCGAGAATCGCTTTGAATAGACCGATTGCAAAGAGGAATACGAA